AAGAAATTTAACTCGCCTTATAAAACTCATGCTAGGGACATGTCGAAAAAACCGTTAATTTTTGGGTTGAATTTAAAAAAACCGTTAAGTTTTCATCCATTTTCATGAATATTTCTTGCAAAAACTGGCAAAAACATAGTTTGGGTAAACAATTCTTGTTCTTAGTTTCTTGTTTGGCTCAATTTAGCTAAAATCATCTAAGAAAATTACTAGAAATTAAAAAATTATATTTAAAATCCCAAAATTGACAAATTTTTAACGGTTTTAAAATATTCAAACGCTAGGTCGATTTAATTCGAACATGTCAACTTTTTTCAATACTGAAATGTCCATAGCATGATCAAACTATTACAATTGTCAGATCTAGTGTGGCTGATAGGTTGGGTACCTATTTGCTAGGGTTCATCCAGCAGACGAGAAAAACTAGTTGACATGTGTGACATTCTCTGTTTTTCTGTAAAATTGTTTGGTCACTAGTCTCATAAGCCCTTTGCTCTTATTTTTGAATTATCAAAAATTTGTCATATCCTAATAAAATTTCCATCAAATCACATCCTTACTCATAATAATAATCCGAACTCAAGACATCATCATTTATCTTTCTAGAGAAATTTGATGACGATTAAATCCCATTTTGGATAATAGATGTCAAGACACCACTGTGTGACTTCTTTTTTGTATTCTCTGATGTGCATTAATATTCTCGTGAACCTGATGAAACTTGATATATGAACAGGTGACAGTTGAAGACTTATTGGGTGGATATTACGTTAATTGGTTCATTTATTAATGAATTCTTAGTAACAGAGTCAAAAGAAAGAACATCAATGAGTCCAAGTTGAATACCTGCTTAATTAAGTAAAAAGCATTTGACTCAATAAATTAAATAAACTTTGACTATGAACGTCTAAAGGTCACTTAAAGTTCTTCTTGAATCGATTTGACTTAAAGTGAATTTTTTGGGAAATAAAATTAATTGTTTTTCGTCCAAAAGTTTCACCTCGTCTATCTCCAAGAAGACTTTCTCTTTTGATTAATGAAGCTCTTGTCATGAACAACATTCCATCTCCTCTGGGGTTTTGTCTTCTTTGTAACTTGCAACTGTGTCCAGAATTGTAAAGTTTTGGTTTTATAAAAATCATTTAAAGTCTCGTAAACAAAATAATTTGTTTAAAATTTATGAATTTGGTCGGAAGTCAGCTTTTGGTATTTTACAAAAATGTCAATTGATGGACTTGACAGCAATTCGTCAGCAGTCGATTCTAAATCTAAAGCAGTGATGTCTAACCTTTTTCTTCCACAGCATATTTGGTGTAAAGCCATGACCAAAACCGCACACAGCATATGATTCTTGGGACATCCCATTTTTTTCATGGCACACGGGTTGGCCATCACTGGTGTAAAGTTCTAATCCGTCAAGACAATTCCCACATAATCAAACCACTTAAGAAGAGATCTTCAATTTCTTCCAAATCCCATGCCTTGCCTGCCTGCCATTAAAATAAAATTAAAGCATCAAAATAACCTCCATTTTACAACTGTCAATAAAAATCCAACCAAAAAGTCAAACAGATTCGCTTCAGCAGATGTTCATGACAGTCTTATTTGCCACCTGTTGCTGACAAAATTGAAATTCTCCATAAAATATTAAATAATTAGTTTCTGTAAGAACTCAAAAGCAGAACTGCAACTAAATTGATATAAAACACAAGCAGCGTCAGAATGAAAAGCTAATTGTCCAATAAATTAAAGTAAATAAAAACGAAATAGCTCATAAAATATTTACAGGCCAGAGATTCTCAAACCTTTTTGGGGATGGAAAATTTTGATCCTTAAGATTCTCAAACTTTTTTGTTTTTGAGGATCAAATTTCACTGATTCTGAATTTAATGTGAGGAGAAATATTGAGGATTAAAAAGTTTGAGGATCTCTGTTGGAAGTGAGATGTGGAATTTTATTAAGAGTGACAATAGCTGTCGTTAACAGGCAATCTTCAACCCTTTTATTGCAATTATGTTTATTTAATAGTTTTGTAGTGTAATTAATGCTTAAATTAAGCAGATGTCCTCTCGCTGGAATTAGAATTTACCGGAATATAAAGAATTGTTCACAAATGCTGTCAATCCATGGTTATAGTATAGATCTTAGTTATTTGCTCAAAAAAATTTTAGGATGTTTTATTTGTATTTGTTTTAAGCATTAGAATATTTATGTAAAGTTTCAATCCATTTGGATAAACCCTCGAAGAAAAAAGTGACAAAATTGATTTTGACTAGGGTCGCCCCTAGTCCAAAATTGAAAATGTTTTTCCTCCTTTGTTCTTTGCTCAAAAAAATTTTAGGGTGTTTTATTTGTATTTGTTTTAAGCACTAGAATATTTATGCAAAGTTTCAATCCATTTGGATAAACCCTCGATGAAAAAAATGACAAAATTTATTTTGACTAGAGTCGCCCCTAGTCCAAAATTGAAAATGTATTTCCTACTTGGTTCTTTGCTCAAAAAATTTTCAGATGTTTTATTTGTATTTGTTTTAAGCACTAAAATATTTATGCAAAGTTTCAATCCATTTGGATAAACCCTAGAAGAAAAAAGTGACAAAATTGATTTTGACTAGAGTCGCCCCTAGTCCAAAATTGAAAATGTATTTCCTACTTGGTTCTTTGCTCAAAAAAATTTTTAGATGTTTTATTTGTATTTGTTTTAAGCACTAGAATATTTATGCAAAGTTTCAATCCATTTGGATAAACCCTCGAAGAAAAAAGTGACAAAATTGATTTTGACTAGGGTCGCCCCTAGTCCAAAATTAAAAATGTATTTCCTATTTGGTTCTTTTCTCAAAAAAATTTTAAGATGTTTTATTTGTATTTGTTTTAAGCACTAGAATATTTATGCAAAGTTTCAATCCATTTGGATAAACCCTCGATGAAAAAAATGACAAAATTGATTTTGACTAGAGTCGCCCCTAGTCCAAAATTGAAAATGTATTTCCTACTTGGTTCTTTGCTCAAAAAATTTTCAGATGTTTTATTTGTATTTGTTTTAAGCACTAGAATATTTATGCAAAGTTTCAATCCATTTGGATAAACCCTCGATGAAAAAAATGACAAAATTGATTTTGACTAGAGTCGCCCCTAGTCCAAAATTGAAAATGTATTTCGTACTTGGTTCTTTGCTCAAAAAAATTTTAGGATATTTTATTTGTATTTGTTTTAAGCACTAGAATATTTATGCAAAGTTTCAATCCATTTGGATAAACCCTCGATGAAAAAAATGACAAAATTGATTTTGACTAGGGTCGCCCCTAGTCCAAAAATGAAAATGTATTTCCTTCTTGGTTCTTTGCTCAAAAAATTTTAAGATATTTTATTTGTATTTGTTTTAAGCACTAAAATATTTATGCAAAGTTTCAATCCATTTGGATAAACCCTCGAAGAAAAAAGTGACAAAATTGATTTTGACTAGAGTCGCCCCTAGTCCAAAATTGAAAATGTATTTCCTACTTGGTTCTTTGCTCAAAAAAATTTCAGATGTTTTATTTGTATTTGTTTTAAGCACTAAAATATTTATGCAAAGTTTCAATCCATTTGGATAAACCCTCGAAGAAAAAAGTGACAAAATTGATTTTGACTAGAGTCGCCCCTAGTCCAAAATTGAAAATGTATTTCCTACTTGGTTCTTTGCTCAAAAAAATTTCAGATGTTTTATTTGTATTTGTTTTAAGCACTAAAATATTTATGCAAAGTTTCAATCCATTTGGATAAACCCTCGAAGAAAAAAGTGACAAAATTGATTTTGACTAGAGTCGCCCCTAGTCCAAAATTGAAAATGTATTTCCTACTTGGTTCTTTGCTCAAAAAAATTTCAGATGTTTTATTTGTATTTGTTTTAAGCACTAAAATATTTATGCAAAGTTTCAATCCATTTGGATAAACCCTCGAAGAAAAAAGTGACAAAATTGATTTTGACTAGGGTCGCCCCTAGTCCAAAATTGAAAATGTATTTCCTACTTGGTTCTTTGCTCAAAAAAATTTTTAGATGTTTTATTTGTATTTGTTTTAAGCACTAGAATATTTATGCACAGTTTCAATCCATTTGGATAAACCCTCGAAGAAAAAAGTGACAAAATTGATTTTGACTAGGGTCGCCCCTAGTCCAAAATTAAAAATGTATTTCCTATTTGGTTCTTTTCTCAAAAAAATTTTAAGATGTTTTATTTGTATTTGTTTTAAGCACTAGAATATTTATGCAAAGTTTAAATCCATTTGGATAAACCCTCAAAGAAAAAAGTGACAAAATTGATTTTGACTAGGGTCGCCCTTAGTCCAAAATTGAAAATTGATTTTCTATGGTGTACTTTGATCAAAAAATTTTTTGGATGTTTCATTTGAATTGACATAATTCTGACATAAATCACATACCAATATTGTTTTTTATAATGCATAGCTTAAAAAAATCGAAAGATAAAATTTTGAAAATTCAACCTGAGTTTTGTTCTTACTCTTCACTGTGGAAACCAAAAAAAAAAATTCTTCATCTTAGAACACTTGACAAAATATTGACATAATTCAGGATTAATTACTTGTTAATTATATGTTAACATTTACGAGAAAATGTGGTTCAAATAAGTGTGAAGTATGGCCGAGATTTGGACCGAAATCAGCTATACTGGTTCATAGTGTTCCCGAGGGTGACAAAATTCAAACTAAGTGTTTTTGTAACTGACATAATTATGACATAAATTAGGTATAACTTTTGAACTGTGTCGATATGGGTTCGGTCGTACTTCACGCCCACTCGAGTTGTTTCTCATAAATGATAGACCCCATTAGTGGATGACCCCTACAGACAATCGCATGAACAGCTGAAATAGTAAATCAAAAATATAAAGACCACAAAAATTATTTAAATTGTTGAAAAATTTTACAAAAGAAAGGAAATGGAACTTTATTGTGAAAATTTTCTTGTCTTTTTCTCTTTCTGGTATAGAAAAAAAAATTAAGCGACATATTTTCTTCATTTCTTACATTTAATTATCTTTTTTATCTTTCTCATTTACATTTAATTAATTACACTACAAATTTTTATCTAGAAAATAACCATTTTTTTACTTACAAATTGAGTGAGTGCGAATAAAATTATTTTTGGAGAAATTTTTCATTATTCATTCAAGGTACATAATTTTAATTGAGATTTTCTTGCTCGGTAAAGCCAAAGAGGTTGGAGCGTGGAATTAGCCACGTTTCAATCCTTTTTATGTTTCATGACTAGAATCTGGTTTATTTGATTTTTTTGCTTAATTAGAGTTGGAAACTTTTTGCACCAGAACAGGAACTTTTTTTTTATAAAAATTTAACAAATTATTTTAAATAAATTCAGAATTTTACTCATTTTTCTCAATTCTCTCTTTTTGCTCTCAATTTTCCCATTTTTAATCTCAATTCTCTCATTTCGCTCTCAATCGTCCCATTTTTAAACTCAATTCTCTCATTTCGCTCTCAATCGTCCCCTTTTTAAACTCAATTCTCTCATTTTGCTCTCATTTTCACTCTCAATTCTCTCATTTTCACTCTCAATTCTCTCATTTACACTCACAATTCTCTCATTTTTACTCTCAATTCTCTGATTTTCACTCTCAGTTCTCTCATTTTGCTCTCAATTCTCACACTTTTACTCTCAATTTTCCCATTTTTAATCTCAATTCTCTCATTTTGCTCTCATTTTCACTCCCAGTTCTCTCATTTTTCACTCTCAATTCTCTCATTTTTCACTCTCAATTCTCTCATTCTGCTCTCAATTCTCCCATTTTCACTCTAAATTTTCTCATTGGCTCATTCATTCTTTATTAATCTTCAATCCACGTCAACAAAACAAGACACCAACTTAATACCATCAACCACAAAACGACAGGAGTTTCCAACTCTAATTTATTTCATCAATTATCACATAACATGTGAAAATGAAAAATTTAACATAAATTAACTTCTCATCTCAAATGCAGTATCTTCAACAACATCCGTGTCATCCATATCGTCGTCAGCAAACTTGATATCCGATAGTTCATAGTATTCGCATATTCTATTATCACTCGGTGACTTCATCACACTCGTTTCTTTCTCTACAATGGATATTCTTTTCACATCAAAGTGCTTTGTTGGTGATTTATGCTGTAAATTTTCATTCGATACGCTTGCAACGACGGCTGCAGTCTTTTGTAGAAAATTAATTTTTTTGAGAATCTCCTTTGGATTTATGTTAATGTTACTAGCACTACCGTTCGATGACGACGTAAGTGGAGTTGAATCACCACTCGATGGAGAAATGAGACTTTTTCTCGGTGGCTTAATTGGAATTTTTGCTGGTGCTTCGTCCGGACTTTCTTTATTACTTCCCGGATCAATGTCTGAGTGTCTTGGAAGGATTTCATCTCCATCGTTCTCTAAGTCGCTAATGATGCCATTATTCTCGTCGATAGGTGGAATCCACACAAGAAATGCTGGATCCATTCCTAGGTATGAGCCAGGTGCTGCACTTGCATTTACAACATTGTAGTCATAATAATCCATTTCCATTTCCTCTTGTGTCGATATTGAGTATTGTGATCCCGGATTTGTCATTAATTTTAAGCGATTCTTCTTCTCCTTACTCTCTTTCTGACTATTTAATCGAATTCTCGCTGTACTTGTTAAACTAAGTGCTGGAGAGTAGTTTCCCTACAAAGAAAAAATAAGAAAAGAATGTAGAAACTTTGCTAGAGTGTATAAAAGGATGATTACGATGTTGTAAGGTAGAAAATTTCTTATATTAAATTAAGACGGAAAATGAAAAGTTTCCTTTTTTGAGATGAAAAACTTGTTGTGAAAATTTTGTGAATCCGGTGAGTAAGTTAGGATAATTTATGAGGTTGAATGATTTTGCAAGATTTAATTAATTTTAGAGCGAGCAACTTAATTTGGACATTGATAATTTAAATAAATTAAGTAAATTAATTATTCTCATCAGTGACTGTGGATTTGATTTATCATTTTTCTCATGGATACTTCACTTCAGACTTTCAAATGTGAATTCTGTGACAATTATCGACTATTTTATTAAGTTATTTAACCACTTTTACTCAAAAAGAGTGAGCAAACAAGATTAAATCAGTTCCTTAATCAAAAAACCTCGAAAACTAGTTCAAATTTCATCTTTTTAAATTCCACGTGGTTTCTTGAAAACTTCAATAAAAACTATTTAAATTCACATGCAAACACAGCATATTAAGAACGTAACTAGTTTGACATTATGTTTTGAAACGGATATGTTTAGTTTTTATTCAAAGTCTTACAATGTTCACATCTACTCCATCAAACTACTATAATATGTTTCAATTTTCTACTTATTTCCCTGTTTGACAATTTTCATACCGGATTCAACCAATTTTATCTCAAATCCCTTCCATTACGGATATAAAATCCATAAAAAAAACTTTCAAAAAACAAGAAAAATTTCTCTCGTTTAGAATAGCAAAACTTTTTCTCATAACTCAATTTATCGTTCTTATTTCCATCCTGCCCTACAAAATTTTCCAGTAATAAAAAATTCTAATTTAAATTACACTTGTTAACGTGGCTGCAGGTGATGCTGTCTTTGTCCTATCGATGCTCGAGCAATAACTCGACGCCTCATCCAGGTCTTTTTCCTGCATCTGTTCACATTTTTCTTTCAGCAGCTCCTTCACCGTATTGCTTGATATATCACGTTTCATAAGACTTCCATCAAGACTCAGTTTCTTCTTTGGTACAGGTGTTGCTTGCTCGAAGATGCTGTTGCTTGATGTATCTGACTCTGGAGCGCTATTTGACTTCTTCTTTAACAAAATTGGTGTCAGGTCTTCATCCTTAACATCGTTCGTAATCGTGTTTGTACTTCCATTGCTATCAAAGATACAGAATTGATTGAATGATGAGTACCGGAAAGAAAATTTGATAAAAGAAGAAGAAAATTTGATATTTTCAATTTTTATTTCCACAAATACGAATATATAGAATTATAGCTAAGTAAGAATATGATGTATTACTTTGAATAATTTCCAATTGAATCAGAATCATTCAATTGATCCTTCTCAAAATCCTGACTCACGACACTTTCACGTAACTTCTTATGTCTGATTGTCGATGATGTTTTCGGCTTTAATTTGACAAGCGTAACAACTTCCGACATTAGTGTAGATGTCGATATAGCACGCATATTCCCATCTTGAGGATTTCGTGTTATTGATATTGTTGAGCCATGTGGCGTGTTGAGCGGCGAATCAGACTCTTCTTTACTCTTTGCCAATTGATATCGGTGATATCGGAAGATGTATTGAGCACCCAAGAAAACACTAATTAGTAGAATTATACCACAAAATAGAAATACAATAAGATGTGTAAAGTTAAATTTTGTTATTGCACGATGATCCTTTATTAACAATCCCATTATTGATGATTCTGCTACACTTGGTAGCGTTACGTTTATTTGGTCTGAAATGAAATTGAAATTGAATTATTAATCGATGTTTTTCAAAGTTGAAACGTTTAACGGATATTTTAAATTCAAATATTTTTGAGGTTAAAAATTTTCCCACCTCAAAAAGTTTTTCAGAATTTAAAAGCTTTAAACCTAATTAAAATTACAATCTTTTTGTTTAATTTTACTCAAAAAAGTGGCAACAATAACGCTTGATACAGAAAAGCTCATATTTCACTGAATATTACAAGTAGCAAGCTAATGAGGAATCATGTAGCTATACTGTACCAAACATATGCCACTATTGTTTACAAAACCACAACTTAATTCCAAAAATATTCAAAACTAAAACAAAAACTCACCTATAATCTCAACATGCCCGATAAAACCAGCATAACAGGCATTATTAACGATCTGTGAATCGTTAAGGTGAAAGTCTATCAGCAGATATTCGCCTGTTGACGCAACATTGCCATTATATCGTACACCACGACCCGTATATTCACCGATTAATTCTGACATCCAAACGTCCTTTCCATCTCGTACTTTAATGCCTTGCGTTGGGCATGGAAGAACAAAGTAATCGAGATTGAATTGAATCTGATGACCTTCCTCAACCTAATGAATTAAGTAGCACAAAAAATGCTTTGAGCTTTTTTTCCATGATTTTCAATTTTCTCATTTGACTTACTTGAATTGTCCATACAGCATTTTCCATGCCGGGACAGCTTTGTGTTGACGTTGCCAGCAATCTTCTTGGCTTTGATTTTAATAAATGAATTATACATCCACACTGACAACTCGGACCGACCTCATCCATTATTTCAGTACTGTTGATCGTGCCGAATGACTTTGTGCCAAAAAAGTATTCCCAGATGTTGGAGATACTTCCACTGCATGGACGTTGTTCTGTTGTTGGACCCTAGCAAACGATAGACATAGTATATAATAAATAATTTTATATTTTTATGCGGAACCGCCAACTACAGCAACAGCGATAAGTTTTAATATTTATTTCATTTCCATTTATAACTCAATTTGTGAATAACGCTTCAATGAACTTTTTCGATTACATTCGCATGACTGCACTTACCTCACAATATTTTCCATTATATTTTGGTGTTGGTGAATCGCAAATACGATATCGAGTCTGGATGCCTCGAGCATATTTCGCCGAACATTCACTCCAATTACTCCAACGTCCCCATTTTCCATCAATTGGACCTGAATTCAATGAGTTAAGTAAAGTAAATAATTATTTTTTTCTTCTCTGCCCATTTTCTATTCAGACATGTCTGAAAAAATTTCATTAATCCATCATGGATGAATAGAAGGGAAATGGTAGTAAAAATTTGTCACATTCTTCTGCCATTCTCCACCCTCTGTCTATTGAAAACATGAATTGATGAGTTTTCTTGAGGAAATTGCACAATTTGATGTCAGAAAATGATGAATTTATGTCTTCAATTATTCATTATTTACGTTGGATTTAGCTTTTTGTTTTCTCACAGACCTCCCACTTCAAGTTTTTAAAGTTGAATTTCTCTGAGATATTGAGGTCTTTTAACAAAATTCCAATGAATTTCGAATCTTTAAACCGGAGCAAAAAAGCATTTAAATACTTCAAGTCAATATCCTTCCAAGAATTTCAAGAATATAACAATAAAAATAATCCTCAAGAAAAAAAATCACATCTTTTAAGAAACCCTTAATAAAATTCTGAATAAAGTAAACGACTTACCATAAACCGGAGACGTAGGTACACAATCAGATCGAATATCAGCAACGGCACCGGATTTTGCTTCCGTCACATAAACAAAACAGTATTCGATAAATCGCTCATTAAATAGCTCACAGTTGAAGTAAACATTGTGCTGGCCTCTCTCAATTTTTCTCTCATTTACATAAACCAGGCTACACAAATTTTCGAACACGGTTGAGAATGAGGGTTACATGTAGATTGAAACAAAAAAAAAGGAGTACAGGAAAAAGTTTTTTTAATCAACATTTTAATTTAACTTATTCTTAGTCTGTTGCGCTCAAGTTGCGCTATAGCGAATCTTATAAAATATGTAAATTAAATGGATGTCGACCCGAAAAAGACACAACAACCGTTTTTTTCGGCATAAATAAATATTGCGGAACCGAAAAAAACCTCCTTCAGAGACCGCACTCAAGCAAATAGACATAGCGACAACGGGATGAGAATTTTTCATTTAAATTGTAATTAAAAAATTTGTTAAACAAACCTCGTTGGTCGTGCAATAGAATGAACATCAGCTGACAATTTTCCGTACAATCTAACACGATCATTGTCCATAATACATGCTGGATATTTGACAACTACACGAATGCCTGCATCAGCACAATCATATGTACTCTTTATATCCATAATGTTAAGGATATATTGCTTACTCCAGTCAACCTTATGAGGAATGAGATAAGAAAATTGACATGTTAGGAAATGTACGCTTGGGGGTAGGAGGCATGTCTTATGCCTATTTTATGTGTCTACATAATTCAATCGAGTGGAAAAATTGATTTTTTTTCGTAAATTTGACATACCTTAATATATGCTTTCGCAGACAATGATGAATTGAGGGGTAGCAGAGGCCTCAAATGGAGCACATAATTTCCTGCCAATCCAAAATATTCACAACTTAATGGCACCACAATATTCTTTTGTATTCCATGCACTAATTGTATGAAAAATGTTGAATTTGATGGAACCGTATGTGAGTCGCAAACAACATCATACAATCCACAATAAATCAATTCGAGTTGAAATGATGGCACCTCATCGAATGATGTTGTATCAATTGGACATTCAACATCGAGGAATTCAATCACAGCACTAACTGATTGATCGTATGTTTCAATATTATCATGTGTTACACTTAGTCTCGGATTTGGCCATCGTACATCGAGCTTATGTTCCAATAGATGATTACCGTCTATTGACAATGTTGTATTGATTGCATTGCCCTCCACATGCAATGTATATGGACCGGCTCGTGTGAATAGAGAACATGGCACTTTAATTTTCGTTGAATTTGTTTGCTCGTCTGTGTAAAAGTTTATGTGATGAATATTATGAAAGGCTGGCTCTCCCAAATAGGAAAGTTTTAAATTGAGAAATTCTAATGGTAATATTTCTGATGTTTGAATTTCCACATCGAGATCGTGCGTTAAGGCTGTATAGCTTGGGGGCGCAATAATTTTTCCATGTGCAATTCCATCAACATAAACTGTTTCGAGAAAAAAATAGAGAAATAATTGACGATTAAAATTAGATTTAAAATTAATGAAATTTTATTCAATCGAGTTCAGAGCAATTTTCATTAAATTCTCATTCTGAAATTTCATATTATATTAAATTGATGATGAAATTCGGTCGAGTGATGCAAAATTATCATTCAAAATGAGTCTAATCAATATTTATGAATTTATTTTATATGCTGGATTGTTTTGCATGTCGGGCAGACATTTATTGTCGAATTATTATTTCAAGTGGTTTGGCATGAATTAGTAAAATTATATTTAAAATGTGAAAATGATGTTTTTAAAAGCTGTTGAAAATTTAATTAATTCAATTTTGTTATTGAAAATGAGGAATATTAATTAGATTCGGTTAATTTGAGTGGATTTGGGGATTAATTGGGATGAATTTGAGAAGCTTTTAAATATATTTTGATTTTAAACATTGAATGTTTGCAACTTTGCATCAATATGAACAATTTTTTAAAAATTTTGAACTCAATTCGGATTTTTGCATCATTGGAGACATTTTGCATCAACTTCTTCTTGTACGAGTCCCTTTAAAATTTCTGCATCACTTTTGTTTCTGCATCAAGCAATTTTAACGAATTTTCGCATCATTTTAATACCCCTTGCATCATTTTAATACCCCTTGCATCATTTTAACACCCCTTGCATCTTTTTGTATCTTTCTGCGTTATTTTAAACAAATCTTGCATTAACTTGATTTTTTTGCACCAGTTCAAACATTTTCTGCGTCTTTTAAGATTTTTTGCATTAGTTCAAACATTTTCTGCATCTTTTAACATTTCCTGCATCAATTTTAACATTTTTGCCACAAAATTCAAATCTGTGCATCTCTGTCAACTAACTTTGCATAATTTCTTCCAAAAACACCTCGAAAACTTCCTTAATAAATTCTTAATTAACATTTCTCACTCAGTAATTAAATCATAAAAGTTTCCAACTTGATTAAAGCAAGAATAATTAAGCAATAAAGCAAATTATTTTCTCATCTTCCACCGAGTCAATAAATTTCCAAAAATTACATCTTTGTGATATTTTCATGTTCTTGAATATTTTATGAATTATGGCGGCAATATTATCAAAATTAAAGCAAGTACACAGCTCATGGAGACGCAATATTAATAATTTATAGCTGTCTATATTTCAATATAAGTTTCCACTATTTTAATTAAACAAATTGAAGAATTTTTCACTTCCTTTTTATCTGTTAATCCATTCAATTCAATAAAATAATGAAAATTGAAGAACATGATCAGGAAATTAGGTTGATTGTCCTCATTTAATAATTTATTTATTTATTATTGACGTGAAAGATCCGAAATTGAATAATTGAATAAAAGTTTGGAAATGAATGAATTTTTAATGGATTTATAAAAATCAATTTTAAAAGTATTTTTAGAAAATGTCAATTAAGATTTTGAAGAAGGTAAAAAATTATTTAAATTACTCAAGCATTTAAGTTCAATTAGGCTTAAATTTTTTCCATTAATCAAAAGGTTGTTTGGAGTTATTCGGGTATATCCAATTTGTAATTATGGTAAATTGAATTTTAAAAGTTAATTTAGTGGACTTTTCGTTGTTCTTGTCAATCTTTTTTGTGCTTTTGCTTGCGTAAATGATAATTCAGTTGGCATAGTGAAGACTTTTCTTATCCTAGACCCCCGAAGAACCCCTTCAAATGTGTTTTTTGAATAAATAGGTTTCAAATCTAATTCAATATTCTAATTTTCATAGATAATTGATTAAAATATTAATTTAATACCTCCAACCCAATCTATTCCCCCAAAAATGACCACTAGCTACTAGCTTCCCTACAAAACTCTATTAAAAATCAATAACATTCAAATTATTCAGTGCGTTTGTAAATTGTCATCAATTGAATATAATTAACAGCTGGGGGGAACCAAAACATATTCCAAATTATAAAAAAATAAAACTTGAAGAAAAAAAATTGTTTGTGCAATGAAATTAAAATAATTAATTTTTATTAATGAAAAGCCCAACGGGATGTTCTGATTACTGTACAAATAATTAACCTTTTCTTGTTTTGTACAAAGGCTTCATTTGTCTAATGAAGTGCCTAAATAAATAGATAAATTTGTTTTCGGGTGAAATTTTGGATTTTGAAGTGGGATCGTTTATAAATGACGTCACAAGGAGGGGTTACTTCATTTATGAACGTTTATAAATCGTTTATAAATCGTTTATAAATCGTTTATAAATGACGTCACAAGGAGGTGTTACTTCATTTATGAACGATCCCATTAAGCTTCAGCATTGTTTTTTGCCCCTTAATTCTCTCATGATCAAGCCACAACCAGAGCTCGAAGTCAACTCGAGATTTTCATCAGTTTTGATGATTCATCGGTCCGAGCTCTAGGTTTTTCGGAGTCACTACCCTGACTTTATCAACTGATAAATATAAGTTTTCAATTGATTAGTCAATTTTCTTCGATCTTAAAAGCTAATTATCCTTGAAATCATTAAAATCCACTACAATACTGATCCAAAAAACACATATCCTCGTCCTCATTAAAGTTCTCAACAAGCTATCAATTAAAATTCAACTGCAAACTTAATTTCAATCATTAAATTTAATGAAATGGCAATGAATGTCTACAATATTGTTGCTAACGTTTGAAAAAATTTATATCGAGCCTATCAGCTTTAATTTCTCGTCCATAATCATCATGCTGCCTAGCAATTACTACCTTTTCCATTAAACTTTCGTATCCTCGGGCATTAAAAGAAAGGATTACTTTTATTAAGCTTTAATAAAAACTGAATTTTTTTGCTAAGAGTCCAATAATGAATGTAAGTGTAATCCATTAAAACCATGAGATTATGGAGATTTTTGCAAACAAGCTTAAGCACAGATTAATTCATGGAAGCAATAATTGGATACGAATGGGTTGAAATATTTTTTCATTTAAAAGTGAGGTTTTTTAAACTTCATGCAAATGCTTTTAAAATCTTGAAATGCTTGAATAGCTCGAGTATAATTCAATTACAATTTGTTTCAAATTTCCAACCTTTTTTCATGATTTTCAGAAATTAAGTCAGAAACTCTCTTTAACTCCTCACAAAACTCGCTCTTAAAGTTTTTATAAATTTACTTAATTTACCAAAAAACCCAAAAAAAGAAAGAGTTCCTTCTTTGCCTATAAACTTTCTTGATTAGCCTTAAACGCAATCCAATCCCCTTAAAAGCTTCTCAATAACAATTATTTATCCACCAACAAATACAAAATTGCCCTCAATCTAAATAATCATTTGCCAATGTGTAGTTTCTAGTCTTCAGCCTATCGATAAATAATTTCGAATGGAAATAATTTTTTCAGCATGTTTTGTTGTTGTTGGTGGTGAATTTTGAGGGATAGAGTCTCTTTAAAAATATTTGATGTCATAGTTGATTTGGATTGAATCAAGTCTAAGCCTTATTTAAGTTTCTTCATTCCTGAGTGACACAGAAGCTTTATTTAGGAGTAATACAGAGTTCAGAGATTATTTGGACTCAGCAAGGTTTTCATCAAGGGGCCATTCACTTATGACGTCCAGGTGGGGGGTCAGCAAGAAAAGAACAAATCCATTGTTCTTTTTTGAAAAATTACCGTTAATTTTGAACGTCATAAATGAACGATTTTGTTTTGAGATCGTTCAAAAATGACATCCCAAAATAACGATAATTTTTTCAAATAAAATAAAAGAATTTCAATACATTCTATTGATCTAAAGCATTTCAACCCTCTCCCCCGTGACGTCATTTTTGAACAAACCCCTTAGTTCAGTAGACTTTTTCAACATTGTTTTTTTCCAAACCTATGTCACTCGGAATTAAGGTTTTCAAGCCCGGGATTGAAATGTATGTAATTCCGGGATCAAACCCAGTACATTTTAATCCCGGGATTAAAACCCTACTCGAAATATTTATCGATGATTTTATATTTGTATCAATAACGCCATACAGAATAGCACAAAAATTGATGAGAATAAATGAACACAAAAAAAAATATTTTCGAAAATATGAACAGAAAAAAAAAAATAAATAATAAATAAATGAAAGTGTAGGAAGAAACAAAATAGTCATAGGCACAGAGATATCACAGCACATACGATGATGATATTGGAGCATAAATAAATTAGTCCTATTATTGTCAGACAGGGAAGGAGTGATGCAAGGGGTGAGATATGTTTGGGGGATTTGGAGCATATAAAGTTGAAAACAAGTTGAAGAATGTTTAAGGTTGTAGGAGACTAATATTAGATTTCATTAATCTATGACATTGAGATTATATATTAAAAAATTCAAAAAAAACATACTTTTGCTAATACATTTATCGATAGGATTCGAACATTCGACTTTCGAAGTCATTTCATAAATTACAATTTCTAATTTTATTTACTATTCTGCAAAATCCACATCATAAATCACAACAAATTCCCACAATAAATCCAAAACATAAACCAAAAAAATCACTATTATTAACATATCCATCGCATTCCCTTGGCATGTCCCAACAATGAGAAAATGTTTCACATATCAAATTCAATAATATTTCATGAGATATTATGATGCTGTACATAAGTATGGATACTCACCAACATAACGAACGAGTAAAATAAATCCAAAACAAATTAAATTCCAAATGCTAATGTTAGAACACAATTTATCAACAACACCATTCATCATATAGATTTTTATCAATGCTCATAATTTTTTTCTTTCTTTTCTTATTCTGCTTTGTATTATTATTTTTATATTCCTGCGATTGTATATTTTTTTTTGCTGTTTATATCATTCACTGAGTAATGGGATATCCAATATTGCACACAGGATACTTAAAATATTATTATTTTGTATTTTATTTCAATTTCCACTTTCGCAACATTTCAAATGCACTTATTAATGGATATTTTGTTGCACTATAGTACGGCATCATCACTGAATCTACATCATTTTTATTTTTTATTTTTTCTCGATCATTCAGCTGTCATTTAAATGTCTCATTCATATATATTTTTATATAAACATATCAGCACTGAGGATTATTATTATTATTATTTTTATAAACAATATTTATGCTGCTGAACTCAACTCTTTTGTGCTTTTGAACTGTAAATCATGAAAGGAAGAAAAATATTATGGATTAATTTTCATAAAAGGAACAAAAAAAAAGATTTATGAATGAAATGAAAATTGAGATTTAATGTGATTGAAAATTCTGAGGAAATTGAATATGGAATAAACAAGCATAAAAGGGCAATTGAGAAATTTTTTAAAAAGTTTATTATGTGGTTAATGTGAATGGAATGACTTTATTATGTTTTCTGCTCTGATATTAATAACGCTGGCGTAGATTTATAGCTTCAGTGCTTTTTTATTGAGAACTTATTTGTTTTTTTTAAAAATCCTTTGAGTTAAGCTTAAGTTTGCACATGGATTATTGATTGCTAGAGTGTATACTGCATTAATTAAGGACATAAGAGTGGGTTCAAGTCCCAACAAAGGATCAAACACTTATTTTAACTCTTACTCCTTTCTGCTCTCTAGCTATGCTTGTGGAAAATTAACATAATGCACTTAAATTAAATGCTGAATGCTGTAATACTTCAGTATCCAGATGCATAGCCTTTAAACATGTCCCAACATCATCCGAATCTTTGAAATCTTTTAAATAACACAAGTTGTGTTTTCAATCCAAGTCCAAATTTTCAATTCCGGGATTACGGGATTAAAGCATTTATAATCCCGAGATTACGGTATGGGATCGTTCACTTATGACGTCCGATATTAACGGTCATTTTTCAAAAAAGAACAATGGAATCCCAAGAATTTCTATTATTCTTTTCTTGCTGACCCCCCCCCCCCCCCCCCCCCCCCCCCGCCCTCCCCCCCTTCCCTGAACGTCATATTGGAATAATGATCCAGATTCCAAGATCCCGGTTTTCGGTATCCCGGGATTTAAATCTCTAAACACAAATTTGTTGAATTCTTTCTTTAAAGTTCTTTTTGTGCCTTTAAAAGTTTCCAATAAATAATTTTCAAAATTTACTGACCAAATAAAAGCCTAAAGCCATAAAATACAGACTTCCAACCCACAATAAAAATTCAATTCCTTTACGACCACAATGCACAAGCTCACCTTCCCTTGGTCTATAATTTTTTTATCTCAAAATTTATGATCAATAAAAAAGTTTTCATTCCACAAGTTTTTCTTTTTTTTGCGGAAAAATAAATTGATTTATGACACGAATCAAGAGAACTCAGTTTTAAGAGTGCTTTCATTTGATTATGGCTTGAGTAAAAGTATACAAAAGAATTTCATGCTTCAAAGGGAAATCGAAGTTTAGTTCAAAAAGATACTAAAGATATTGATAAAGCTTGTTGGGCTTAGATTGAGATTGTACACGTGAATTTGGTAGAAAGAAAAGAGAAATCAAATTTATAGACATAAACATCCACAAAATCACTGCCAACAACAACGAAAAAAAATTCCAATAATCAAATTAAATCAACCAGAAACAAGAAAAATTCGTTCCATCAACTTTATCTGTTTTCCATGTAAATAATTATAGCAGTGAGCCACCCTACATGCTAATGCCATACCATAAGAGTATGATTTAATTTTCATGTAGTAAAATCATTTTTTTTTTCCATCATCAACATCCATAAAATTATTCCACTTAATAATGTATATGAAGGAATTTATCAGCACACAATAAATAGCGTAGAATAGAGATGTACGAGAAAGAGAAAGTAATTTGATAATGCGTGTAATTTATTAATTAAGCTCTTGTTGTTGTTGTTGGTGCTCTCATTATGTTGTAATATTAAAAACCTCAAGTGAAAGTTTTTCCGTCAATCCCTTGTGTGTAGTATTAAATTTCACTTTTGAAATATTCTTCAAACTTTACATAAACCGATTAGTTCTCTTAAGGGAAATTTCGCTAGACATTACTAAGAAGGTTTTGATGAAAATGAAAATTTTTGGATTGAAATTTGAGGAATTGATTGCTGATTGAACTTAAGATCAAATTGTTAAAATTTTGTGAAATTCATGAGAACCTAGTGTGAATCTGGGATACATATTGAAATTAAAGCAACGATTTTATTACTACAGCTGAAGTGGATTTATCAAGCATTGGTTTGACTTTCTTCCTTTAAATTGATTAAGAACAACAATCCGATCATGAGTTCGAAACTTAACAATTCAATTTGATACATATTAGTTATGATTTGATACCAGAAACCCATACCTAATCCTTAGTCAGCCATACCTAGTAGCTAGCAAGCCCTACCTAGTCGCTAGCAGGCAATACCTAGTCCAACGTCCCTAGTCAGTCATACCTAGTCCCTAGTAGGTCATATAAAGTTGCCAGTCGGCCGAACCTTGTCCCTAGTCCCTAATCAGCCATACATAGTGCCCTATTTAGGCAAGCCTTGTTCCCAGACAGTCAAACCAGCACAAAATCACCATGGCTAATTAACAGAACCTCTTAAAAATTACAAACCAAACAATAAGCTCCCGAAAAATCTCACAAAATTCACGCAACATCCATCACGTCTTTAAAAAAATATTTAATTCCAACCACATTTAAAGTTTTCTTTACTAAACAACAAAAAAAAAACAAGGAAAATAATTCAAAAGTTTGTCTTCATTATCGTCATCAAAATTTTTTGCTTCCACTACGCCTATTCAGCTCTCATTTCCTTATCATTAACTCTAGAGTTTTCAATAATGTTTCAGGCAGTGCCAAAAAAAATAAATAAAGGAAAACACATAACAGCAATAATGACGCTCGATAAATTTAAATCACTTTAATATAATCATCTTGACGAGATGCTAATAATGTCTCATGATGGAATCAAATAGAATGTGAGATGCGGTTAGGGATTGCAGATAGGAGGATTGTGGTTGAATTTGTAACGGGATAGATTAAAATTTGTGGCTTTTCTCGGTGCTGTGTTGTTGGTTTGTAGGAAGTATTGACTTTAATTAAAGGAATAAGTTAAGTTTTGAAGATTTGTGGAATTTTTGGCGTATTTTTGATGCGTTTTAACTGGATTTGAAGTTTTTTATAAGTTTTAGTGTGTTGTAAGCTAGTATGGAGAAACATAGTCCACTGGTAGCTAATATAAGCTCCTACTAGCTTGTTTTTGGGTACAATTGGCTTCTACTGGTAATTATTCCCCACTAATAGCTACTATTAGCTACTACTATCTACAATTAGCTACTACTAGCTACTATTAGCTACTACTAGTTACTTTTAGCTCCTACTAGCTGCTTTTAGCTAGTAGAGAACTTCAATCTCCATTATTCTTGGTTACAACTGTCCTCCTATCCTTTCAGCATTACATCCCTAATCCATAGTCCATCATCCAACTACACTAAAAATTACAATCCAACTACAAATGCATCTCCCACATACTGTGAAAATTGTCATTAATTAATGACTAATTCTCGTAAAAAATTGCCCATCGAGCAATTTATTCTTTGTATCCCCTAGTGCCATATAGATATAAAAAAATTGATGTTTATATTATAAAAAAGCCGAAAACGAGGGAAAAGAGGAAAAGGAAATTTTATTAATAATGAGCGCATTAGAATTTCATAATTCTCGTCTTGTGCATTTTTGTAGATAACGAGGCAATGTGAGTGTATAGCTTTGTTAAATTTTTACTTCTCCGCAATTTAAATCAGGGTTATGAAGACCCTTTAATGGCCTCCTACCTACATAATATCACAACAACAATAATAACAGAAGAAGACACAGCAGTTTCGATAATAATAACAATAATATCAATAGGAGTAGAAATAAACATGCACACAGGCACCATAGTTGAGTGTATGCGGAGCGGAGAGTCGGCGACTAAAAGGAGGGTAGGAAAGAGATTTATTTCTAATTCACCCCTCATGCCAATGTCCTGAATTGAATTGAATTTTCTTTTTTCAAGAGTTCGGAGAGTGCGTTAGTGATGGTAGACATAAAGTCACTATAAAATTGAGGAATATCATTCAAACAGGAACCAAAATGTAGCAAATAAACCTTTTTTGCCTTCCTCATTTGAATTGTGAATACAAAAAAAAAAGGAAAAAAGCACTGGAAATTCTTATTTAATAACACAGCATAGAGCCCAAGATACAAAGCCAACGGTTCAATTTACATAATTTTTTTACCATTTATATGCCACATTTCTCCATCATTGGCAACGGAGACCCGACTTCATGTTTTGAAGCAATTTAAATTGCCAGTCGACATGTAAACTGAATTATACAGCTATTACATCCTGCCTGCTTGACTTGCCTTTACCTCAACTTGCGTACCAATCTCTTTTTCTATATCTCCGACCCATACTCTGATGTATGCGATTTACCACTTTATGGATGGGACTCTTTAGCGCATATTTGCGAATGAAAAATGAATTGCTGTCGGCTATAGATGGAAATTTTTAAGATTCGTGGGGGAATCGAAATTATTTTGGGATTTTTTTAAATCGTGGAGGTACGGGATAATTGGAGAAATGGAGTCTATGGTTGGAGATTTTAAAGTTTAGTTCATAAATCATTTGAAATTCTTGGAGTAGCTTGAATGGATTGAGTTTTAAAATTTTAGGTGTGGGACATGGGGTGAGTTTTGAACTTCCGTGCTGAAATTGGTTGAAAATTCCACTTTCGTTGTCGTTTGTGTAAAGTAACTGGTATTGAAGCTAGTGGAGCAGCTAGTCAAGAAGCTAGTAAATAAGGCAGTCTATGGGCTAGTATAGTAGCTAGTCTAAAAGCTAGTATAGTAGCTAGTTTAAAAGCTAGTATAGGAGCTAGTCTATGGGCTAGTATAGTAGCTAGTCTAAAAGCTAATTAAGTAGCTAGTATAAGAGCTAGTTAAGTAGCTAGTAATGTATCTAATCAAAAAACTAGTTTAGTAGCTAGGATAGTAGCTAGTAAAATAATAAGTTCTGAATTTTTCAATTTTTTTTTGCTTCACTCAAATCCAATGCATCATTTATAAACGACCCCAAAAACTCCATCAAATAATCACGAAATTCCTCAAAATCTTTACATTTAAATCCATTATTTGTTGAATACATCCAAATCAACTTGCTATCAAGACGAAATTATCCGCATTAAAGTATTCCCAGAAGTATAAAGGTTGTCACAAAAAAATTATTCCATGCAAATCCTAAAATTCTGTTGAAAAGCGCACTCCAAAAATTTCCATTGTAGCTTTTTGTATTACCATAGAATGATGGAGAAAAATCATCAAAATACACACACACATTTGCAGGATAAACACAAAAATAACTGTGCATGTTTTGTTGAAAAATGAATGTTTATAGTCACGAGATATAAATTGTGAGTTAATTTTTTTGTGCTGCTTTTCTTCTTCATCCAAACACAAAACACAAAAACTTTTCTTTCCTTTCATGCCTGCCTCTCACTCTTCTATGATATGGTAACGGTGCCATAAACATGAAATTTTTCCTTCCATCTACTATTATCTTTACTTTCATACAGCGTACCAACAAGCCATAGATAAATATGGTCGTATATATCTCTATGTGTGTCGCTTTTACAGTCACAAGGAACGACTTTTCTTATTTTTACTTTTCCTTTCATTTCTTTCTTTGGATGAAATTGAGCTTTGGCAGAGACATACGCACAAATGATGGCAAGCATGTACGGATAAATGTGTCTTAAATTTATTTTGTAATACATGGCAAGGTGCTCGGTACAAATTATTTGTCCTCTGACGATGGAATGGAAAATAAAATTATTTTTACGATTTTTTTCACTTTTTTGTGGAATTATTTGAGTTGTGATGAACTTGTGGACTTTTGGTTGGCATGATTTAAGTGAGTCGTTTCTCTCCGAATTAATTATTAAACTTAGTGTTAATTTATCCATCAATTGTCATATTCAAGATTGAAAATGAAAGAAAAATTATTCTTCATTCTATGGTTCAAATCCTTAAATATCAATTATTATGCATTCATACTGTTATCAAGCTACTCATTTTAATGTATTTTTTTAAAATTGTAAATCACAAAATCCATTCTTTTTTGCACCTTTTAACACTGCTTAAAATGAACTGCTAATTTCCTGTTCCTTCATTAACAATTCCCACTTCAATTTTCTTAAAATAACCTTTAAGGCCATAAAGAATCCCAAAGAAGCGACATAAAACATCCATTAATCCCTTCCCACAATTCATCAAATGCAATAATCCCACAAAGAAAGTGAAGAAAAGACCTTAAAGCACTTTTGTGTACGCAGAGCTTGAAAGTTTCGTAAGAAGAAAGTTAAATAAAAAGGTAAACGCGAGACGTAATCGTGACACAAGAGGAAGATACTAAAGTTATTATTACATCTATGCTTGTGAAACATGCCGGTGATATCCAAAAAAAGTTTTGTGTATTTTACTTCATGTCATGCCATTGTCCTTAATTGGATGAAAAATATTCCTTTTTATCATTGCTTTGGTTCCACTTGAATGAGTTCAATTTTTGTAGGAAAGAAAAAAATTGTTTAATAAATCGTAACGCGGCATGAGAGTAATAAATGGTGATAAATTTGTCATATCTGGAATTGAAATGTTGACTACTGCGTGAATGTATTCAAATATCCGAGCCTGGAATTTGCCTTTCAATATTTTCTTTTTTTTCGATTTCTGTTCTTTTTTTCGCGTAAAACATTTTCATCGCCATAATCCGATTAATGTCACACTCTTTCACTGTTGAAAAATACTTTTTTTTTTGTTGCTGTGTTCGTTTCCGCAACAAAAGACACAATATCATTTTCCGATGTGATTATGATGACTGTTGTTGGATGTATTAATTTTTTTTAAGGGAGGGTAGGTTTGTGATGAGAAAAAACAGACAACAAAATGTGGAAAAATTTGTAGAAAATGAAGGAAATTTATGAAAATTGTTTCCAAATTTGCAGCTTTATTACGGCATTAAGATGGTAATATTTGGGGATGTTAGGAACAGCAAGCTTAAAATTAATTTCAAAAAAGGAAAAAAAAGAACACAAACTATCTTTCAAATTGAATTTAACTTTTGAGACTCGAACTCGATTCTTCATCATATTTCTTATGAAAATTATATTTCGACCTTAATTCAAATTAACTCTTTGTCAATCTGACTCAGGAGTAAAAATCTTAAGGAATCTTATAATTAGAAATTCTGCAGTTCGAGTCCTATAGTATTATCAAATGTAAGTTTCTTAATCTTGGTTATTACAAACATTAGTTTTAAACTTTCTGGCACTTAATTTCCTAAAATCATAGTTCCAACTCCTCCATCCATAACACAAGATAACCTCAAAACAATTTCCAAAAAACCCAACACATCCATCAGCCTTTCAATTTCCTCATCATAATCCCCGTAAAAATCGTCAATTTTCAATGTTCAATCAAAACTCATGAAAATTTCATTATTTGTTATTCCTTCCTTGAAATAACATGAAACAATTTGGAAATAGATTGAAAAAAAACTCCAATTCCTTTTTTGTGTGCCGATACAAAATAAAATCCCAAACCAATTCGCTTAATGCCGCTCAAAAATCATAAAACTTTTTCCATATTTTGGAAGAAAAATTCGCGTAAATAAAAAAAAGTTGAAAGGTTTATAACTTTCGTCATCATTGTCGTGCAGGCATTTGATGACATGAAAATTTTTCCTTCCGAAAATAAAGAAAGGAACTGAAAAGCATTCAATTATCTTCGTGATTTTATTCTGTGAAAATTTAATTTTTCATTTCATCCTTTTTTTGACGCTTTGAGTGCTGTACGGGAAAACCCCAAATACAGGCAAAGAATGAAATTTTATTTATTTATAATTCGATGTGTACCCTTAATGCACAGACTGTTTCTTTTCTTCTTCTCTGTGTACTGTTTGTTATATCTAACAATGATGATGATTTTTTTGGGAAAAAACGCGCCGCGACTATTAAAATTCGGGACTACAGACAATTTTTCACCGAACTCGAGCGATTCTTAAAGCAAACTGAAGAGTCAAGTGACGATTATGCTTTCGATGAGGCACTGAAAAATCCCGACTGACTCTCTTTCAAAAAATCTTTTTGGAGAGAGCGAAAGGATGGAAAATTTTGAAATTCATTCATTGAATACTTGTCGGTTCCTTTAATTCTCTCAATTTTCTTATTTCCTCTCTTTTCTCTTCTTTATTTTGAGGTCCTCTCTTCCTCTCTCGACTCTCTTCATGCAAAGCACACAAAAAAAATTGTGTACATCTGAATTTGCTGAGGGGTTGAAATATGAATGAATTGATAGTTGAGCCGCACATACACAGGCACAAAATCATTTCATGTGCACACAAAAAAATGTAAAATTTCATTTTTTGCTCTATTTTGAGGGGATGATATTAAAAAATAATTTGAGACGTGGAGGGAGTTCAACAGGGTGGTTCATCGACTTTCGAGACTATCAAGATGTCATAACAGCATTCTGTTGCTTGTTCTTGGATGCTTGCCAAGCTTATTCTTTTTTTGCATGCAATTTTACCACCCGCAACTAATTTTTTATCTTCATCTCATTAAACTCGATTTCATCATGCAATGAGAATGAAAAATTAACTCTGAATGGGATTTAGCGAGATTCAAATTCATTAAAGACAGATATGATAGGAAGGAAAAACAAAAAGTAGTAGAAGCTCGACAGTATGAAGTGAACAAGATAAGAATCACTGTGAGGGGGTGAAGTTTTCTACTATAACAATAAAGTAATGTAACAAGTTGGAGATTTTGTAGAATAAGGAAAAGATAAGACGCATTTTGGTGGGATTTTGCTGATATTGCTTTGATATTTTCATAAATTAGAGACAAGAATTATTTTTAATGATTTTAACAGGCTTTTTAGATTTAAAATTTAATGATCTATGAAAATATCGTCATTTTGAAATTTTCCCCACCTCGAAAAGTATTTTTAGAATTTGTAAGGATAAATACATCCAAGTTATTGTAGAATCTATCATTTTAGATATAAAAAAGGGGCAACCATTGAATAAGATCAAATGGAAGTATAATTATGCTTCTCTTTTCGAGATTTATCAAAATTTATCATTTTCTCACGTGGATTTTTGTTAAATTTGTAAATTTTAGCTTTTTCCAAGCTTTTTCTTCTCTTAAAGTATCCAAATTATTAAGACTTAAGCAAAGCTAAATCAACAAAACTCTAAAAACACCTCCAGCCCTCCAAAATTCAGCCAGAAAGACAACATAACCTTAAAAAATCCCACCCCTTTAAAAAATCCGCAAACCAAGCAATGAACAGGGTGAATCATCTGCATCACTACAAACAAACAAGTAATGTAGCATGCAATACGGCTAGTAAAGGTTCATTGTCGTGCCCTTCAACGTGCTAGACCATTGCATGTGCTCTATTATTACATGTTCTTTTTTGTTATATTCAGTTTTTGTTAAGGGTCGTTTGCTTTTAAATGACACATGCCTTTGGCTCGTGGCAATGTCTATTTATTTTCACTATGCTTCAAGTGCGTAAAAATTTCTCTTTAATATCTGCACAAAAAAAATAATTTTGCTAATGAAAAGTTTGCACTATTTTTTTTTCGAAATAAGTCAAATGTGTGGCTACGATACCTTCAGCTATGTCACAAATTGCTTTAAATGAAAGTGATGGAAGAGGAAGAAGAAATTTTTTTTTTTTTGTTTCTTCCTGACTTTATTAAAAACATGTAAAATTTGCGCCGACGCAAGTAGAACCCTAAAAAGAATATTTGTTTCATTTATATCTCTATGTATTCCTGCATGTCTGTTTATAAGAATATCATGAATATATTGTTGATCATTTCACGTATTTCTCTCGTGCTGTGGAGAAATAAGAAGCTCACGGAGAATTTTTTTTAGATTCACAATTTTTTTATATCCAAACGCCTCATTTTACGATCGCCCGACTTTGTCGACATCGTCATCGACCGAAAGACATAAACGCTAGGGTATTGTGAAGGATAATTACACCTCGTCAGGTACAATTCTTTCTCTTTAATGCCACTCTATGCTGTGTTCCTCTTCTTTCCGTTTTTATAATCCTCTGCCATTTGTTCTTCCTTCTTCATCGTGCTTAGTATCAGGGGTGGAATGTTTTATATTGACGGATGAGTTTTGTTATATTTTTTTGTGTATGCAATTTTATAGCTTGAAATTATATTGCAATGATGTTGAATTAAATACGTGATTTTTAACATGAAGTCGTGATAGAATGTCTATGCTGAATTGGAGATTAATTTTGAAAGGATAGAATGGGATTAGTCAGAAAGAAAAGAGTAAAGAAGTTAAATAATGTTGGTCCTTATTAAAAATGAAGCTTACTTGTGAATCCAAGATGGAAAGAGCCGCAAATCACTTTAAATGCATATAATTATTTTATCTACGATTTTAACCAGGAATTTGAAGTGGGAGAGAATTATTTTATCCTCCCCCCCCCCCACCCCCCCCCACGGCTACAACCTCTGTACAACCAAGATTAAGCTACAACTTAAAGCTTCTGAAATCTACTTTAACTTCTCTACGTGTCATCAGTAAGAACTTAATTATTTTATCTTATCGACAGCCAATTAACTTTGCAACACATTATTTTACTACAAATTCATATTACAAAAGTATAGTGTACAAAAGTATAGTGATACGAAATTTTACAAATGACTAGGTTTAAAATCCTATTAATCAAAAAAATTTAATTGGTGTGAGTTTAGCTTCAAAATCAACTTTTTATAATTTTTTTTCAAACTTCAGTCAACAGTTTGATCCAAAGTGTGAAGTTAATTAAAGCAGTTAAGTGCCTTGCTGGTCGTATAGGTAAGGCGCTTGGCTCAAATTTGGGATGGTAACTCGAAGGTCGTCGGTTCGAATCCAGCCATTTCCAAATTTGTTCTTTTTCGGAAGTTTAGATACTTCGACTGCTTAATGTAGAAATCAAGCCATAATTGGGCATTTGGGCAACGTTGGATTAAGGAACGGGTCAGGAACTTGAAGTGTAGCGGGAGAAATAGGAACGAGAGCTACAAGATTACCCACGAATGGAATATTGTTAGAACGGACCTGAAAAGTATTACGTCACGCCTACAGAAGATCGAAACAAGAGCCTTAGTTTATTTGAAACCGAGATATGAAAATTACAAGTTTGATCCTACATAACATTAATTCATATGTATACAAATACAAAAGTGTAAAATGTGAATTATTACCGGACAGTATGTCGTCAATAAATGCAATAATTAAGGATCCATTGCAAAATTTGTATAAAATGTTATAATTCACAAGCGTAAGCAGAAAAAAAAGTTCAGAAAAATTTTGAAACTTTCAAACTGAGTCTTTTACCTCTGCATCTCCTCATCAAAATTCCAATAAATCAATAGTCCTCGCATGAGATCAATCCCAACCCTGAAAACTGCTCTTAACACAGCCATATCCCCAAACCATTTTCAAGTATTAACTTTTATCGGATAAAAGTTGACTAGTAAAATTCACTTTGCAAATAACAAGTGTTCCGTAGAGATCCGAATACATAAAGATGAGAGTTAAAGCATAGAAAATTGAATGAAAAAGAAGCAAAAAAGGCAACAGAAAAAAAATAGAAGTTCATGGATGATTATGATGATGAGTAAGAAAAAAAAAGACGGAAACTGAACTTTCAAAAGGAGTCTATTGAACATTAATAATAAATGCGAGGAGTAGAAATTCCATACAATCTTCTAAAGTGGATACTTTTCATCCACATCCCACATCCGACACCCCACATATTCATTTTCGACTTCGTTTCTTCTGCCTATTCATGAATAGGATTTTGTTTTATAGCGCTTGTTCCGTTTTTTTGCTCTTTCTTCTTCTTCATCCTGTGTGTTGTGTTTCAAGTACCATGAAGGAAGATAGAAGTTTAATGTCTGTACATCAATATGAGGAACAAAAGGATAAGGAATGTAGGCAGAAGAAGAAGCAAAAAAGGCAAACATAAAGTGCAAAAAAAGAGCTGCTGAGAAATGAGGATGAATACACACACTGAGAGATCCTTCAAATATTTATGGAAAATGAATGACTGCCTGGATGTTTATACAAGATATGGAGATATGTTAGTGTGGTTTTTGGTTTTTTTCATGTGTATCATAAAGTTTGGGAAAGAGTTTTGAGGATGTTTGTCTGACTATTGCTAAAATATGTGTCAAGTGGGAAACAAATCATCTGAATTATACGTGATGTATGTTTTTCTAGGAAACTAAGATTTGTTGAATTGTTTTTATGCCACAGAAGTTAAACTTTATTTATATGACCCCGAAAGTCATGCAAATATAGCTTCTTAGTTGTGTATGGTTTTAAACGCAACTATGCCTTTAAAATTAAATTCCCAAAATATAAAATACAGTCCAACAACCTCTACAACACAAAAATAACCTTCAATAATTAAATTTAATTTCAAAAAATTCACAACCTATGAATTCAAAATTTTCAGCTTCAGCAAATCCTGCAAGCTAATTTATTAATTTCCACAATGGAATGAATTTTTCACGCCAGAACTCAGTCACAAGTTGATGCTGTATGAAGGTATTCATACAATTTTTTTGATAATATCAACACACTTAACCCTACACGGAGCATTCTTGTGTGTATAGAAACTCGTTCGCATCAGCATGAACAGCAACGGCATCAACAGAAATATTGTAGAGGGTAAAAGGCTACGGTACATAATATTACATGCCAATTTAACATTATATAATTTTATCTTCATCTACCATGAATTTTTTTCTTCCTTTATTCTTCTGTTTTTCTGTGCCATTTTTATGAAAACGCGAGGCTGCCTTTATTAGCTTCGTCTAGCTTTAAATTGAAATTTAATGGAATAAAATTTTCATATTTCTTTAGGATAATTGCTTGTGAATGGTTGTGTTAGGCTGCTTGGTTGGTTTTCACTTCAAAAGTGGATTCTCACTTTTTCCTCCAAATTCACCAAACTCACCTAATTCTCA